TATTTAAGTTCTTAGGTATATTTACACCTAAATAATTAGTTTCCCAATTTTAATATCGATTTTTCCTAAGTAATTATTTCCCTTCCTTATTGTTAAATACTATCTCTGATTTCTGCCAATTTATTTGTAACCCTGTTATATCTCCAAATACTCTTAAATGTAGCTTTACCCTATCCATCACCATCATGGGTTTTTCTGTTGTTAATAATGAATAATCTGCAAATAAACTAATTATAGCCTTATTTTTGATCTCTATACTGAAAATTAATTTGTTTTCTCTGATAAATTTGCTGGCATTTCTATAACTAATGCAAATAATACTGAGGAAAGGGGACATCCCTATCTAGTACCCTGGGATAGGAATATTTGCCCTGTTAGACTATCATTTACTATTACAGATGCATTATTTTCTGAATATAGCTGATCTATCACACCTATAATCTTTTCCTCAAATCCTAATATTACTATTATCATTTTATGTTGGCCATTCCACACAGGCAGAAGCCTCAAAAATATCTAGTGAAATTATACCTGCGTTCACCTTTTGTTTTTCTGTTACATGTATGTTTAGAGCTCTTCTTGTCAAATTTGCCATTTGTCTTCCTACTATAAAACCACATTGATCTTCTTTAACGTATTTATTGATACACTTATTCATCCTAATATTGCAGTAAATATCTTAGCATCTTGAATAATTAAAGAAATGGGTCTATAAGTTTCTGAATCTGTTAAATTTTTCTTCCCTTTCGGAATTAATATAATTAACGACTGCTTCCATGATGCTGGGATCATATCTCCATTCATTACATGATTGTAGAGAGACTCTAGTTTAGGTACCAGCATTGTTCTAAATGTCTTACATATTCTGGTCATAACTCATCTGGTGATTTTGCCAGTTTTAACTTATTAATTACATCCTCTATTTCCTCCTTTCTTATTAATTGTTCCATTAAATATTTATGTCCATCTTGATGTCTAATCCCCAAATTTTCCTCCACATAGTTCCTTATTCTATCCTTTGTACAATTACCCTCTACATATGTATAAAGTCTTGGGAAACTATTTTTTCCTTCATCAAGTTGCACATTTTCCCTATTCTATCCTTAACTATTCCTGTTCTACCCTTCAACTTCTTGATTTGTTACTTTCAAAAAAACCCACCTGTTTTTAAATATATTAAATTTGTCTGAGTTTTCTCCATCTCCATATTCTCTAGTTTTTTCCTTGCTAATAAAACTGCTACATAAGTTTTTAATCCCGTTTTTTAATATATCTTAATTCCATCTCCCTTATTTCTTCTTCAGTCTCCTTCATATGTCTGTCTTGCTGCTTTTTCAGCTTACATGATTTCATAATATTTATTCCTCTCATTACTGGGTTCATAGCATCTCATATAATACCCTTACTACAACTCTCTTGATTATTAGTTGTCTATTTCTCCACCTCTTTTATTATTTTATCCACATCTTTTTCTTGCAAAATATTTGTATACATCCTCCATCTTCTAGCTTCCGTATAATCTTTTCTAATATCAGTATCCATATTCATTAAAGCATTGTCAGTTATCTTTATACTCCCTATTTTTGTACTAACCACTCTTGAAATAAAATCTTTAGATACAAATATGTAATCAATCCTAGAGTAATTTTTATGAACTGAAAAATAAAAATTAAATTTATTTTCTTCTCCCATCATCTCTCTCCATATATCTCTCAAATAAATTTTTTCTTCATCTTGTTTAAAACAGAAATACAGTTATTTATCTCTTCTCTAGTGGAGTTTGATTTATCTTTTCCTTTATCTATTATCATATTAAAATCTCCCACCATTATTACACATCCCTTCCTTATATTTCCCATTTCTTTAATTGCTTCTGTATAAAAATTGACTTGATTGCCATTTGGAGAATATATATTAATTAAAGTATAATCCTCTTCGCACATTGTACCTTGCATCATTTTATACCTACAATTAGTATCTCTTTAAAAATTTTCCCACCTTAAATTCACATTTCTTTACAATGATGATTGTAACCCCTCTCGACCGTGAGGTTCCATATGCTTTTTTATGAACTCTTGACCATCCTAATTTAACTTCGTGTACTCCTTCTTTTGATCAGTAAGTCTCATGTAGAAATATTATATCTGATTTATCTTTGTTCAGGAACCTCTCTATTCTTTTCCTTTTTATAACATTCCCTAAGCCTTTAACATTCAATGTTGACATTCTAACCATTTTAACCATTTAAAAATGTCTGCAATTCTCCTTTGGTTTCTTAAAGTGAAACATGTAACATTACATACCCTAACCTTTTCCCAATCCACCATATCCCACCTAGACCCCTTACCCCACCACAAAAATTATTCTTCCCCTCAGTCCATCAAAGCTCAGTTGTTTCATTCTTGGCTTGTCTCCAAACCATCAAGGAGAGAAAAAGTTCCCTTCTTCATCCTTGGAATCAACACCTTTCCATTGTCCCTATTCAGCAACCTTACAGCCAATACCCCCATTTTATATTCCTTTATTACATATACATACTACCTTATTTATATCACACTTATCCACAACCACACCATGCCTAAATTAACTAAACATAAATAGTCAATAAGATGGAAGATGAAGAATAACAAGTACCTAAAGGATTAATACAGTAGTAGTAAATAAAAAGTAATGTCTCTCTGTCTAGCTTTATAGCAGGCAAAGAGATCCTGAAGAAATTGTTAGTAGATGACATATTTGCTCTAGTGTTTGTTGATCATGTGGAGGTCTGAAGTATTATGTAGTTCAAACCTATAATTCCAATAATTGATGATCTTATTTAATATTTTATGAATATAAGACTTAAAGATATTATTTTTGAAGCTAGTTATCTCCTTTCTGCAAGATTAAGTACCTAGAGGATTAATAATAGTAAATAAATAGCAATGCTTTTCTGTCTAGATTTACAAGAGTATCTACATCATAATTAAATAGCACTACACAGAGTGTATGTTTTGTGATTTTAAAATACCAAGGAGATGTTGAGCCAGAAAAGAATCAAGAAATGTTAAGAAATTGTTGGTAGATATAGTTTATCTACGATCATGTGACCTTGAAGCTAGGCATTTTCTTTTTAAAGTCAAGACAAGTTAAAAATAAGTTAAGTTATAGAGAAGATGGAGGGACAAGAAAGGAAAGATTCTATGAGGAAAATAGGGGCAGAATAAAAAAATACAGATAAGATGAAATTCACTTTTAGAGCAGTAATATTATCTTTACTGAAGATGACTTGATGTATAGCAATCCCATATGATGGAAACGTTAAATAGATCATATGACAATATGACAGAATAATATAAAAATTTGTAAAAGTTAATAAGCTTAAAGATAAGAAAAAAAATACTCTAAGGGAATGGAAGATTAGCTACTATAATTGATTTTCCTTTGTATGATTTCACTTTTTAATATAATTGTAATAGAATTGTATAAGCGGATGTAAGAATACTTTCCCCCCTCTGGAATTTTATCCTTTCTCCACCCTTTTTTCTTCCCCTTACATTGTTCGCTTGTTCCTACCCCAAACCATATACTTTTGAAAAACCAGTAAAAACCTCCAGAAAGGGCCAAAAAAACCCCAAAGCCTTATGTTGAGGCATCCATGAATTGTGTTGTGATCTGTGGGCACATATGAGGCTTATGATTGGACAGTGGTTTGGGGATGATCCTATGTAAAAATCAAGTTGATTAATGAGGATCAGTGCCTGTGGGCCATGTTTTTGCACTGTTGGAAAGACAGGCACTGATAGATCCATGATTTTTGTGCTGTAGTATGTGGGAATAGATGGGATCTATGATTTTATAGTGGTTTGATAAGGATCCCACATGAAAATCATAAGGATCCATTCTTGATTTCATGGATCCACTTTTTACCCAGATCCATTTTCAAAATTTGTTTTAAATCTGGGGATGTTTAAAGCAGATTGTTCCTGCAGGTGGGAGAACAATTTTACTTTAAAAAAAAGTGGTACCTCAAAAACCCTTTGCCCAAACTTCCCCAATTTGGCACTGGGCAAGAGCAGATTATCTGCGCCATCTTTGCCAAATCTGGCACGGATCCAAAAAACCAATTTATAATTTTATTTGGGGGGGGGGCTGCCACCATTTTTAGAATTGCCTTGTAGAATGCTGATTTCCTCTGCTGCACATTAAAAGTAATGCACTCTTCTGCAGTGATAATAAAAAGCGCCTGCACTTGGGAGCTAATGTCAGCGCATCACCGACATTACACACAATATCTCAATGACAAGTAAAGAAATTCATGCACAGGGAGATCACAGACATCCTTTTAAATTTCTTTTAATGATTTTCAAGGCTCAGCCCTCTTGAGTAAGAATAGCAACAAAGACTTCTAACGATTGTTTTGCACTTCTGTTCATCTCCCGGGCAGCCGGCCGGTTTTGGGGTTGTTTTTTTTTTTTATCTTGCCGGGTTCCCTCCGTCTTCAAAGCGTCGCTCTCCTGCCGCGTATCTGTGGGTGAGGGAACGGCAGGTCCGTCCAGGGAATCCAATGAGCCCCTCGCAGCAGAGGAGCCGTCGCCGCATTCGGGCGAGGAGGAGCCTTC